AAAAATTGACTTTGCTGCCAAGTGGTAATAATTCCTTTCCCGGTGTGTGTTTGAGTTTGATGGTTTTTAATATTTGCGTAGAGTTCAAAAAGCATTTTTGCTCACTAAACAAGAAGAGGATTACTACTTCCTCCATTTAATGACCCACGTTTACTACTTCGAGAGGAAGGCGAGTGAACTGGAAATGAGGGAGCGGAAAGGGCCGATCTCATCAGAATTTACCCCATATCAGAAATAGTAAATTTTGGATGATGCTTTATTGTTACAGGCAGCCAAAAACTAACACAAAACAGTAATTGAATGAAACAGTCAAATCGCCATCCATGAAGCACCGTCGGCTACTGTCCAGCAGTGCTGTATTCTTATTACTATTGTTTCTCTGTGCATCAGATGTCTGTGTTCGGTCTGCACGAGCAGAGGAGAATCACGATGCTGCGAATGTTCATGATCACAGGAATCATGATTCCGGAAGAAGCGAACGAAGCTTGCGCCCTAGCTCTGCAGAACCATCGAACGAAGTTGAAGAACTGGTCGCTGCCGAAGGTTTCATTCTAGCTGCACTCGAACAACAACAACAAAACCTAAAAAATTTGGTACCTGCTAGTATTAGTGACCATGCTAACAGTAGCAGGACCAATAATGACAACGATAATAACGATAATAGCAATAGCAGTAACGAAAACAAAAACAATAGTGATGAGCAACAGCAGATATCGTCATTTTCCGAAAATCATATTGCGATTTTATCACCGCTGAACACATCGGAAAGTACGAGATGGTCACCAATTTTTCCCGCCCACGACAGTTTCTCGCTGCTTAAACCCCATCACCACCTCGTACCATCATTCGTGAATCCACCGCTGGTAAAAATAAGTCCCGAGTTGCTGTCAGAATCAGGAAAAAGTCGTAAGAAACGTTCAGCCCGAAATAGGAAACGCAACCCAAATTCTGAAAGTCGAGAGCCGGTCTTTGTGAACGCGGACAGAGCAGCTGAAGGAAAAGAAAAAAATGAGAATTCTGTAATTGAAGCGGTTTTCCCTGGCGGATACAGTGTGCCAACCGTAGCATCCGAAGAACAGGGCACATCCAGGGACTATCCTACAGGTGATAACGACAATGGGAATGATCGCTACCGAGTACCACTGGAAAGCATTGTGGTTGTTGGTGACGATGCTGACAACGGGGATGAGGAAGGCGATTTCGGGGATATTGGATATGATGGCGCCGATGAGGGCGACATCGAAGCAGGGGGTAATGGCGGTGCTGTTGAAGAAGAAAATGAAAAGTCTAACGATGTGGGGATTGTCCGTATTGGACCGGTGAAATTTCATGACGATTATACGATAGAAGACAAGCCGCATGAAGTACCCCGAGAATTAAAGAAACCAGATGGACCACATGAGAGGGAATGGACTGACGATTTTGATAATAAGCGCCAAAAAGACAATATCTTGCCCGATGAAACAGAGTTGGTGAGTTTTTTGAAAATGATAATTGAAAAATTGCAAAAAATTATAGGGAGCGATCCAGGAAATGAGAATTTCGGATGATCCGAATGATGCTGCAGTCGCATGCGACGACGATACTGTAAGTTATATCACTGAGAGAGATGGATGTATAGTAAAATTCAGGAATTAGAAGAATGTAAAAAATAATTTTTTCATAATTCAGTAAAATTCCGAGAAATTTTAAAAAGTTTGGAAGGAATTTTTTCAAAGTTTTGTGAATTTTGAATTCAGCTTGCCTCGAGAACTTGTTTTTACGGAGTTTTTCCATCCGAACAAACTCTGTATTGAAGCTCGATGTAAACGTTGTTACTGGGTTGCATCCGAACGCCTAGTATACCTGTGCCAGTTGGATAATACTGCCTGTTCAATGAATGAGCGTCACGTCTTCGAGGAGTTGCTTACTTTCTCGCAATTACTACCCGCTAAACGTGAAAACCACTCTTCTCGCTTGGTTGCTTTCCACTGCGCACGTTTTACTAAGAGTCTGATTACTCAAACAAAAAGGCTGCGATTAGTTCTCGCCAATCTTGCCTCCTTCATCCAATTACGTTTTTAAAAACATTTAACCTAATTTTTTTTTGTCGATTCAGTGGAGGCGAAGAAAAATGAAATCGCTGAAGGTAAAGTTTGTTTAGAAAGAGCTGTTTTTTTTTTGATGTTTTGGCGGTCGTACTTGATGTTGTGTTGTCCTTTTGTAAATAGCAATAAATTTCAAAAGCATCAGTTTGTGAAATTTACATTGCTATGTGTTCGTGCGGTAATTCTTTTGTGCACTTCCACAACATTGCACTGGACAGGAAGCTTTGAAAGTCTGTTGGGGGAAATCAGTTTCCTCCGCTCCGTCATTTTATTTTAAAAATAAACCGGAACTAAAATGTTTGGAAGTTGAAGATTGCTACTGACATGGACAAGGATG